CATGATTTTTTTTTTCACAAACCCATGTTGCTGTTGCGCCAACAAATTGTTATCATAAAAATATTTTTCAATTTTACTTCAGACTATTTTTTCTAGTATCTTACACAGGAAACTGCATGAAAATTTGTTGATACTATTTTATCACTTTTTTTATAAAGTGGAACTAGAATTGCAGATCTAAATTGAATCAGCAGTTGGCTAGTAACTGAAGACTCTCTAAAAATTAATGGTAATTTATGGTAAATTAATGTAAATTTATGGTAAATTAATGCTAAAAATTAATGGTAAAGTAAATGCATTTGTAGAATTTTTAAGCAATGCTGGATGAAAATTTTCTGGACCACATGCTTTGTTTTGATCAAGTTTCTGAAGTCGATATAAAATATTATTGTATGTTATTTCTTCAGGAGAAAGATCAGTAAATCTGCTAGTACAATTTTGTACTCTTGATTCAAAAAATGGTAGTTCTCCTTGGTCTTCAATTGCAAAAACATCCTTAAAACATTTATTTAAAATATTTGAAATTTTCAATTGATCTTGAGATAATTCACACAATTTATTCAGATAAAAAACTCCATCAGGTTTTCTTAAAGTCTTAATTGACTCTTGTAAAAATCTCTGGTAAAAATATTTATAGTAAAATTTATAACTATGACAGTAATTATAAAAGTGAACATAGCAATCTTAAAAATTATAACAATACCTATAAAGCTATTACTACAATGGAATCACTGTCACTATCATCATAAATAATACTAAAAAGGAATCTAAAACAATGTTATATTATAGATAATAATTACAATAGTATTTAAGTTAAAAAAAAAAAGTATAAAATAGGGTGTATCAAAAAACAACTTTTTTTGAATTTGAAATTGTAATAGAGCGGAAAAGTTGCATAATGATATAAAAAGTAATTGTGCCAAATTATTTTGTATTTTTTTAATGTCTTCATTTCGCGCTAGGGTTTTATTTTTCGTAGAAAAACACGTTTTCTGACCGTTTTAGCCCCTTGCCGTCTAACTCATCTAAACAGCCTTGTGCTATTACAAGTATTGAAACTCAATCAACATCAAGTCGCATTGATAATTCAAGTTTCTATTCTATATCTCAAGGTTCTGACTCTGATGACACTGTGATTTGGAATACTGACTCAGAATCAGATGCTGATTATTTAGACACAGCTGAAGGCCACAAACAAAAAAAGAAACAGAAAAGATAAAACTGAACAAATGAGATCACCGTTACTATCCTTAGCACAAGCCTGCGATAGAGTTGGTGTTTCAAGCAGAGGTGCTGCATTTATAGCATGTGCTGTGCTGGAAGACATAATTTCAAAAGGAGACCAATCTAAAGTAATTGATAAAAATAAGATTCAAAGAGAACGAAAGAAAAACAGACTTAAAATGCAACATTTAGATCATGAAAATTTTCAAATGTTCGAAGGTTTATATTTTGATGGAAGGAAAAAATACAACATTTGTTATTGATACAAACAAGGGAAAAAATATACGAAAACTATCAAAGAAGAACATGTAGTTTTAGTACAAGAAACAGGGTCAAAGTATCTAGGGCATGTAGAGACTGCATCAGGACATGGATACAGCATTAAGACAAGTATAAAAACATTTTTAACTCAGAACAAAATTGATACATCCAAATTAGTTGCCATGGGTTGTGACGGAACAGTTGTCAATACCGGATTTTGTAATGGTGTTTTTGCTTTGTTTAAATTAGAACTCAAAAGACCTGTCCACTGGTTTATTTGTCAAATACATGCTAATGAACTGCCTCTACGGCATCTAATTCAAAACCTAGATGGACCTACATCAGGACCTAACGGGTGGTCTGAACCGATTGGAAGGGAAATTAAATACCTTGCCAATTGTCAACTACATTCCTGTCAGTGTCACATTGCTTATGATCAAAAATACTTACTTAATATTTGCAAAGCTATATCTACAGGTTATTGTCCAAACGCTTTGGCTAACTGAAAACCTGGAAAACTTAACCATGCCAGGTGGGTGACCACTGCAAACAGAATATTGAGGTATTATGTTGGATGTAGCGAACCGTCATACAAGCTGAGAGAAATAGTTGAGTTTGTTATTAGAGTTTACTGCCAAATGTGGTTCAATATAAGATATGATCCCTCATGCACGGAAGGTGCTAGACATTTATGGCTAACCATCAATTTATCCAGGTATGCCAGTAGTGAAATAAAAAGTATCATCGATCCAGTTATACAAAGAAATGCTTTTTTTGCACATCCAGAAAATATGCTTCTGGCTATGATACCAGATACTCGTCCAAATGTGAGAAAATTTGCATTAAAACAAATAATGAAAGCAAGATTAATCAAAACAAACAAAGTTCGAAAGTTCTCTATACCAGAAATCAATTTTGAAGCAACAGACTGTATAGACCTTATTGATTGGATTAAATATGAACTAAGTGAACCTTCGCTTACCACTCACATTTCAGATGAAAATTTAATTGAAAT